ACAGTACATTCTAATATCCCGTGTGCTATTTAATACAGGAAAGTAAAAAGTAATTTCAAGTTTCCACTTTTCTGGAGAACAATTTGGTCTTTGCGTGTGACCTACCGCCTTATGTTTTCTTATTTACATGATTCTTTTTCAGTCCATCGTTACCGCAATGATTTATTGGTTATTGTTCACTAAGTATAAGCAGAAGGCTAGACAATGACTCGCTTACCGGCGTGAACATGAGAATGGAAAAATAGTTCTGTGTATGTTAAATTAATATATTAGTAATTTCAGCATCGCCGAAAGAATGGCAGTGGACCTTCACTGCCGATATAAAGGCAACATCCGAAAACGCGATCGATCGTTCATTTTCTAAAACCATGCTTTTTGTCTACTATAAATAGAAAGCAATGTCCGCTGCTGGTCGACTGATTCTTCTAACAAAGAGATTCTACGCCTCCTTTGCCACTTTTACAACTATATCAGTTGCGGTATCGCTGTTTCTTGAAGGACCTTGGCGGAGTTCACTTCTTATCTTCGCGAAGGTCTGTACATTACTTTAGTGACACGAGCGAGCCAGGTGTGTAATGATATTGAATTTATAGTGTCAACTTTTTTGGTCCCAGCCCGAAAAGCTATGGGTCTTGGTCAACTTTCGACACCGTGTCTCAGACGAGGGGGAAATCATTAGGTTCGTAGCGTACGGGCTATTTCGTGGTATTTCTCCTGCCATTCGGTTATTTCTCCTGCCATTTCGGTTATTTCTCGCCCATTTCGGATTATTTCAGGCTATTTCGCGGTATTACGGAGTATCTCAGGAGTATTTCGCGACTATTTTATGGACTATTTCGGGTCTATTTCGCTTTTATTTCGCCTTTATTTCGGACTTCTTTGGGGGAAGGTGTACGAACTATTTCGCAAGTGATTTCCCCCTTGGCCTCAGAAGACTAGAAACGGCTGTATCTTAGCCGAACAGGGTTGTCCATAATATTAGCTTTTCTGGAGAGTTGTGGCCACATTTTCGCTAGAATTTAAATATAGTTGCGGGTAACTTTATTTCTTAGAGGAAAGTTTGCCACACTAAGCAAACATTACGATCAACACTGATGGATCAGATAAAGTCTTTTCGACTATACTTATACGCGGTGTCGAAACTTGATCGTGGGGGCCACCACTCTCTCCTTGGATGTACACATGATTGCAAAGATTGCGTGATTTCACATGATTTCACGGATTTCGCATATTATTTTAGAAGATTTCACGCTAAAACCTGCCGGCAGATTATGTCTGATTTGAAGGATTACAGATGATTTCAGCGGATTTCACAAGATTCCAGCGGATTTTACGTGATTCCGGCGGTTTTACATGACCTTCTAAGGATTTCAGACTAAAATTTGCTGGCAGATTACGCATGATTTCATGATTGCAGGTGGATTTCAAATGATTTCGGGAGGATTTCAGGGAAAGCGTACACATGATTTCAGGAGTGGCGGCCCCCTCGAACTTGATCAATGCAATTTAAATTCTCTCACTATTTAATTTCAGTATCATTAGAAATAATTTGGCTCCAGAAAAATCTAGTCAATGTATGAGAATCATGTATCTCGTTCTGATTTTGAACGGCTTATCCTACACTAGAGTATTGTGACTGTGGCTCTAATATTGTTCGGTCCCTTGCAAGTATATTGCTATTAAGAAAATAAGTTGTGTGTTTAATAAGCCTTTTAAAATGTCTTTTTGTAAGATCAAAAAGCTTCTAGTCGTTCTACGAGTGAACACCATTATTTTGTCGTCCAATGAAAAATTTGAAAAATTGCAACTAACTAAAAGTTATCAAATTAAAATTATAATCCCAGATTTCGCTGAAT